GTGGTTGAGTCCCCGTCCCTGGATGTGTTTAAGAATAGGGTGGATGATCTACTTAGCGATATGGTTTAATGGGGATTAGGGATGGTTGGACTCGATGATCTCTAAGGTCTTTTCCAACCTAGAAATCTATGAATCTATGGATTTGTTGGACCTGGAAAGGCTGGAGAGATGGGGCTGTGCGATCCGCATGAAGTTCAACAAGGCCAAGTGCAAGGTCCTGCGCATGTGTCGGGGCAATTCCAAGCACAAGTACAGGCTGGGCGGAGAATGGATTGAGAGCAGCCCTGAGGAGAAAGACTTGGGGGTGCTGGTTGATAAGAAGCTCACCATAAGCTGGCAATGTGCGCTGGCAGCCCAGAAAGCCAACCGTGTCCTGGGCTGCATCCAAAGCAGCGTGGGCAGCAGGTCGAGGGAGGAGATTCTGCCCCTCTGTTCTGCTCTCATGAGACTGCTGTCCCTGTCCTTCCTGGGTCCCATCCAGAGAAGCTGCCCAGGGGACTCTGCCCAGGGGAACAGAGAGGCTGGTGGCAGAGCCAGCCAGGGGATATGGTTGTAGATGTGGAGGAGTGAGCCCAACAGCCTCAGGGCTCACTCGCCCGCGATCGCTGGCTTTGTCACAGCCCACTTGCCACCCGCCTTTCGCTGCTGGATTTATCCTGTATTCCTCGGAGCAGCTGCGCGACGTGGCTGGCACCTTTCAGAGGAGCGTGAGATAAATACCAGGGCCTCCTCTCCCCATTTTTTGGGGTGGGTTTTTTTTTCCCCAAGGGATTATTCAGCAATACAGCGGTAGAGTTTCTGGCAGGTCTAGGGCTGGGCAATTCCAGCAGCATCACCTGCTCTGTGTCGGATGTTCTCCTCCCAGCTGCAGCCCCACTGGCTCCGGGCTCCCCAGCAGCCAGGATGCTCCCTGCACATCAGCCCTCGAAGCTGCTTTGTTTTCCCTGTGGCAGGTTTCCTTTGGCACAGCCCGTTCTCCGTGAATTCCTCCTGACAGTTATTTCTTAAAGCATCGTCCCAGAAGTTCCAGATCAAACACTGGAGCTTGTGCTAAACTGGATATAGCGTTTCCTTTTCAAAATGTTGACTTTGGACGCCTCTGTCTTCAGTCTTCTGCTTAAGATAGGTTTTTCCTTCTTACTAGCAGTAGATCGTGATCTAATGAGGGCTTTTATTTTATAATAATTAATAAATAATTAGAAACAACGTTATATCTTCATGGGACTGAGGGAGGAAATGAAAATGCTGGAGCTTTTTGGTGCTCATCCTGCATTGTCTGTATGACAAGCAGTCAATATTTTGTTTATTTTTGGTAATAAATCAGTAGTAAATGGTATTTTTTTTTTGGCTGAAATGTCCCTTTTTCCTTTGCTACAGAGAAAGCAGCTGATGATGAAGTCCAGAAGTCCGATATCTCATCCAGCAGCCAAGGGGTGATCGAGAAGGAGTCTCTGGGACCTCTTCTTCTGGAGGTAGGTGCTAAAATGTTGTTGCTAATGCTGCCAGGCTCCCACTACTGCCCAAAGCAAAGCAGCACACCAAGTAAACTAAATACAGAGGAGGAAGGCAACGGAGGTGTAGTTAGGATGCTCTAAGCCCAACCTCGTCCCTGCCCTAAGTTGCAAGTAAATTGATTTTAGTCCTTTGCTTCAGCAAATGGTTTGGAAAATGAGTCTTAACTAAGCTTGATGGAGCTTGGACTTGATTAAGTCATAGATTCATAGAGTCATAGAACAGTCTGGGTTGAAAGGGATCTTCAAAATCATCTAGTTCCAACTGCCCTGCCATGGGCAGGGACACCTTCCACTACACCAGGTTGCTCAAAGCCCCATCCAACCTGGCCTTGAACACTTCCAGGGATGGGGCAGCCACAACTCCTCTGGGCAACCTGTGCCAGTGCCTCACCACCCTCAGAGGGAAGAATTTCTTCCTTAGATGTCATTGAAATCTCCCCTCTTTCGGTTGCCCCTTGTCCTGTCACTACATGCCCTTGTCCAAAGCTCTTCTCCAGCTTTCTTGTAGCCCCTTTAAGTGCTGGAAGGCTGCTAGAAGGTCTCCCCGGAGACCTTTGTGGCCTCCTCTGGACCCACTCCAACAGCTCCATGTCCTTCTTGTGTTGGGGACCCCAGAGCTGAACGCAGCACTGCAGGGGGGGTCTCCCAACAGCAGAGCAGAGGGGCAGAATCCCCTCCCTCAACCTGCTGCCCACACTGCTTTGGATGAAGCCCAGGACACAGTTGGCTTTCTAGGCTGCCAGCGCACGTTGCTGGCTCATGGTGAGCTTCTCATCAACCGACACCCCCAAGTCCTTCTGCTCAGGGCTGCTCTCAATCCATTCTCCCCCCAGCCTGTACTGGTGCTTGGGATTGCCCCAACCCACGTGCAGGACCTTGCACTTGCCCTTGTTGAACTTCATGAAGTTCTCACAGGCCCACCTCTCGAGCCTGTCCAGGTCCCTTTGGATGGCATCCCTTCACTCCAGCATGTCCACCACACCACACAGGTTGGTGTAGTGGAAGCTGTTCTGGATAGCTTCTTGATGTCACCATTAAAATACTGAGTTGCTTCTAAGTGAGGATTAAACTGAGCCCTCAGCCTCATTTGGAGGTGAGGTAGGTAATGTGGTGGATGGTTTTCAGCAGATTTGAATCCTCTCATCCTCTGAAAAACAGGGAGGATGAGGAGAGTGCTCCGCGTTTTTGCTGGTCTTAGTAAATCAGAAATAATCCTATCTCATGAGGAAGGTCAGTGTTGGATGTGACAAGACCATCTTGTATGGAGAAGGTTGTTATGTGAAGGTTATTATATTATATCACAGGCCCCAGAGATAAACTTCAAATCCTAAATAGTTCAGTTGATGATTTCACAGGGGGTAGTTGGGGTTGAAGCTGGGGGGGTTCCTCCCTGGGGATGGCCAGCACCATCCTGCAACCACCTTCTTGCATTGAAACCGCCTGATAAAATAACACATTCCAAGACAAAAAGAAAGCAACAGTGTCATCTGATTCATTTGATTAACTGTTAGAGCATAATTGCTGACAGGCAATGACACAGGCCGACGATTTACTCTGTGGTTTCTTTTGAGAGCCCAATAGCTGGGAGGTGAAATGTGGCAGCATTTTGGAGACAGAAAGCCAGCCTGGATTTCAAGATTTCTGGGGAGAGAAACTCTCCCTGGCCTCGTTTTTGGCTTCTTCTGCATCCCCAAAAGATGTTGGGAAGCTGTGGGGAGCACTCCTGCAGTGCGATGCATGACTTTCGGGACATGCTTAATCCCTCGCTGGTCTCCCTGGAGCCCTGGAGTGAAGGTGTCAAAATGAGTAAAACTCTGCAAGAGATGACTCTGCAGATGAAGGAGTTAAGGCAAAAGGGATGGGAAGGGGGTTGGCATCGAAGGAAGGGTCTGACTTTCAGAAAGGGTGGAAAATCAGTGCTGGAAGCAGGTGGATGGAGTTAACCCCATCTTGAGACCCCCCCTGCAGTGCTGCATTTAGCTCTGGGGCCCCCAACATCAGAAGGACATGGAGCTGTTGGAGTGGATCCAGAGGAGGGCATGAAGATGATGCGAGGGCTGGAGCACCTCTGCTCTGGAGACAGGCTGAGAGAGTTGGGGCTGTTCAGCGTGGAGAAGAGTAGGCTCCAGGGAGCCCTTCCAGCAGCCTTCCAGTACCTAAAGGGGCTACAAGAAAGCTGGAGAGGGGCTTTGGACAAGGGCGTGTAGTTACAGGACATGGGGCAATGGCTTTAAACTGAAAGAGGGGAGATTTCAATTAGATCTAAGGAAGATAAAAGGAACTCAAACCATTCTATGGTTCTGTGATTCTAATAGGGAGTTGGCAGCTTGGCTACAGAAGTGCTGGGTCTAACAGAGGCAAAAACACAGAAAAGGGTTCAGAAATGAGGCTGAGAACAGCATGTGGGTTTTGAGAGGTGCGTTAGGTGCTAGAAACAGGCACAGGAATGTAAAGTGATGCAGGAAAAGGTGGCAGAACCTCAACAAAACCCCAGTATTTCATAGAATCATCATAGAATCATGGAATGGTTTGAGTTGGAAGGGACCTTCAAGATCATCCAGTTCCAACCCTCCTGCCACAGGCAGGGACACCTTCCACTACACCAGGTTGATCAAAACCTCATCCAGCCTGGCCTTGAACACTTCCAGGGATGGGGCATTTGGGTTATACTGGGAGAAGGTACCCTATGAGAGCAGCGGCAGAGCAAGGAAACAGTGAGAGAGAGCAGCGTCCCTACATCCACAGTAAATGCATCTTCTCCGGGGTGCCGTGGTCTCAGATGGGGTTTTCAAACCCCTGCTCGGAAAGGGCTATTAAAAAGCATCTCATTCAGTTTTAAGAAGGCTTTTTGCCTCTTGACCTGTTGTTTGGGCTTGACTTCCATAAGCAATTGAGCTGATAAGGTCATTTAAGATTTTAAACCATGGAGAGATGCTCAGTGTCGCTGCTGGAGGGATGGAGGTGTAGGGGAGAGATGTGAGCTGGGTCTCCAGCAGCTGCCGCCTCCGAGCTCCCCTGCCCTTTCCCCGCTCCCCCACCCCCACAAACCAGCACCATCCGGGGACAAGGCTCCAGGTGGGGTTTGTCATCCAGTCTGGGTCTCTTTTTTCTGGGTGCCTGAAGTGCAAAGACTGGTTGTCTTGGTAACAGCTGGGAATAAGGAAAATTGTGGCTGATCTGCCAGAACCTTTTTGACAAAAGATTTCTTTCTTTTTTTTTCTTCTTCTCCTTTTTTAAATGCTTCCTGCTTCTTGCACTTAATGTCGCTCTACAGCAAAACCTGGTTTTTAGAAAGTGCCTGAAGTAAAGCCTGGCTGCCCTCCATCAGAGTGACTCCCTGCTGGCACGGGCAAGCAGGAGGACAGGAAGGAGATAGCGATGCTGTGGGTACCAATTTTGGGGAATCATGGGTTTCTCCTGTCCCTTGCACCAGCCTCCCACTTCGGGATATGGCCAGATCTAGTTGTAGGATCATGGTCATAGAATCATAGAATACTTTAGGTTAGAAGGGACCGCAAAGATCATCTAGTTCCAACCCCACTGCCATGGCCAGGGACACCCTCCACTATACCAGGTTGCTCAAAGCCTCATCCAACGTGGCCTTGAACACTTCCAGGGATGGGGCAGCCACAACTTCTTCCAGTGCCTCACCACCCCCAGGGGGAAGAATTTCTGCCTTAGATCTAATAAAAATCTCCCCTCTTTCAGTTTAAAGCCATCACCCCTTGTCCTGTCACTGCTCACCCTTGTCAAAAGTCCCTCTCCAGCTTTCTTGTAGCCCCTTTAGGTGCTGGAAGGCTGCTGGAAGGTCTCCCCGGAGCCTTCTCTTCTCCAGGCTGAACAACCCCAACTCTCTCAGCTTCTCTCCATAGCAGAGGTGCTCCAGCCCTCACATCATCTTCGTGGCCTCCTCTGGACCTGCTCCAACATCTCCATGTCCTTCTGATGTTGGGGGCCCCAGAGCTGAAAACAGCACTGCAGGGGGGGTCTCGTGAGAGCAGAGCAGAGGGGCAGAATCCCCTCCCTCGACCTGCTGCCCATGCTGCTTTGGATGCAGCCCAGGATACGGTTACAGTAACTCTTAACTCCTTCAGTTTGAAGCCATTGCCCCTTGTCCCATCACTACATGCCCTCTAGTCCACCAGAGTTCACTGTCGATGACCAGGAAAGGTAGGAATTCAGTTCCAGGAAACCCAAATCCTACCTGGATGAAACGTTTTAGGTGATGCACACTTGGAAGAGCAGAAATCAGTGATAAGGCTTCTCAAGGGCTCCTCACACAAGCACCGAACTCCGCAGCTCTGAGCTTATTTCATAGCACCAGAAAGCATTACTCCCTCCCCTATCATGACAGCGAATGAAGAACCTCATCCTCGTTAAAATAAGCAGAAGAGCTCGTGTGTTGTGTGATTGGGTCTTGGTCATGCTTCTCCTCCTCCGTTCGGTTGCAGGGTTGAATTTGGTACTTACGTTCTGAATGTATGAAAATAACCCTCTGTAATTCTGCGAGATGTGAAGGCTCTGCCATTCTTGGGCTGTAATTAAGCAAATTGGGCATATGCTTAATTTTGGTGACTTGCCAAATTAGAGCCTTCCTGACTGTTCTGGCCCTTGGAAGAGGATTGTTTCTCCTCTGCTGGCACTGTCCTCAGTGACAGGGACATCTTTAGCAGAGGAGGTTGCAGAGCTGAATATGTGTTTAGGCAAACGTACTGTTATTTGATCACTGCTGTATAACAAAGTGGGAATGAAGCCAAGGCGCGAGAGGCAGAGGAAGGTTGTCCATGGTCGTGGAGCATGCTGACCAGCTCCAGGACCCACTGCCTGCATGCTGCCCAGGTTTATCACCCTTACAGGCGTTGGATGGCTTCTTCTTCGTTGTGAACCGCGAAGGGAGGATCGTCTTCGTCTCTGAGAACGTGACGAGCTACCTGGGTTATAACCAGGAGGAGCTCATGAACACGAGTGTCTACAGCATCCTGCACGTGGGGGATCACGCTGAGTTCGTCAAGAACTTGTTGCCGAAGTCTCTAGGTAAGAAAACCCTTGAGGTGAGTTGTTTTAATCAGCTGGTGCTTGGAAAGCGCTGTCGAAAATGCTGTTGCATTTGCAGTGAAGCTGGCCTTATATATATTTTTTATATTGTTTACTGTGAAGTTCAATATACTCAAGCCAGGTAAATGATCCATAAACCTTTCCCTAGTGAAATACATCCTACCAGTGAAAAATCAAGATCAGATTTTTGAATAAATAGCTGGTGGATGACTCTATTCAAGTCATCTTCTCTTTGTCTTTCTCTACTAAGCAAACTTTTGCCTTTGACTTTGGCTTGTGAATAGGAAGAACCGATTCATCTGCCTGGAGTGAGGGGCACACGTAGGAGCTTTAGGAGGATTTTGAAGTGTTGCTTTGGGGGACTGAGCTCATTGGCTTATCCCCGTTCATGTAGGATGTCCTCCCAGCTGGAGGAGGGTTGTCCCCAGCTGGTTTAAGAGCCCAAGTATCTGGCATGGGGATGTGTTGCACCTTGGCATGTGAGAAGAGGTCACAGTGCAAGCGGTGAGCTCATGGTGGTCCCCTACACCGGGAAAATGAACAGTTGCGAGGGTGGGAGGAAGCATTGCACAGTGAATGCACTTGCGGGGTGTTGGAAGCAACAAAAGCAGAAGGTTTTATTCATTGACTGAAGACGAGCATCTCCGGGTGGCCGACGTGGGTGGGACATCACCGATCCCTCATCCGCTCCCACCTTTGAAGAAATACAAAAGGAAAATGAGCCTTTTCCAAGTAGCTTGACTTAAAAATACATGCTTTGTTGAAATTCACACTTGTCTTCCTTTTGGGTAAATACGACGATGTCCTAAACCTCCTAAATCTATGGGTGCTCATCAGATTGAGCCTATAGAGGTTCAAGCATCCCCTTTTCCTTGTGGTTACCCAGTTTAAGGCTTTGTCTTTTGTCTTTCCTTGGATGTTACAAGCCCCTCAGCTCTTCTTGTCCATCAGGTTGCATGAAACTTCGATAATCTGCTGGTGGCAAAATGTCTTGGGTTGAATACGGGTATCCACAAACATGTCATAGAAGGTTAGAAAAATCAACCAACTGGTGCCCAGAGGTTTTTGGAAAAAAACAGGTTGTAGAAAAAAACAAAGGAGAAGGTTTTCGCTGCTGCGGTACCAGAAGATCTCACTGCTGTCTTGTCCCAGAAATGGGGAGGAAGCAAAGAAAAAATGCATTTCTATGGGGATGCTCAGCTGGACTTGCTGGAGAAGTCCCCGGAGTGTCACTATGGGGGGATTTCAAGTACAACAGCAAGAGGCAGGAGCCCTCTCAAGCTCTAGAAGTGACTCAGAGACCCTCTGCCTCAGTTTCCCCACTCGTGAGATGGAGAGGATGGGACCTACCAGTGATGCAAGGAGCGATTCATAAATACCAGCGTGATGACTCTCATGACGACTCGCTGGTCTCAGTTGGGGCTGTAGGTGCTCTTAGGGCTTGGTGTGCAGCGTGGCTCTGGGCACGGGGTTTTCAGCAGGTCCAAAGGAGCCCGGGAGCTGGCACGGAGGGCTCTGCCCCCAGCTCTGCTCTCAGCTTGCCCCTGACCTGGGCAGCGAGCTGCTTTCTTCCTCCATGCCAACGCTTTTCCTTCTGGGAGGTCCTGGGGAAGTCATGGGGGGGATGTGTGCCCAGTGCAGGCCTAACAACTCTTCTCCTTCTTCCTCTGTCCTCCAGTAAACGGAGTTCCTTGGCCTCAAGAAGCGACCAGGCGCAACAGCCATACTTTCAGCTGCAGGATGCTGATCCGGCCACCTGACGAGCCGGGCGCGGAGAACCAGGAGGCTCGTCAGCGTTACGAGGTGATGCAGTGCTTCACCGTCTCCCAGCCCAAGTCCTTCAAGGAGGAAGGAGAAGGTAGGGGAGAGCAGCCTCTGCTCCCCACCCTGCGGTCAGGGTGGGGAGAGCAGGGCAGGTCAGGCAGGAGGACCGGGGCGAGGATGGGAGTGCAGGCAGGGGGAGGACCAGGATGGGGACAACGATGCAGGCAGGACTGGGGCTGGGGACAGCAGTGAAGGTAGGAGAAGGACTGGAATGGGGATGGCAGTGCTGACAGGAGGAGTGGGGTGGGGATGGGAGTGCAGACAGGGGAAGGACACAGTAGGGATGGAAGTGCAGGCAGGAGGACTCGGTGGGAGACAACAGTATAGGCAGGAGGACCAGGATGAGGACAAGACAGGCAGGAAGACTGGGGTTGGGGACAGCAGTGAAGGTAGGAGAAATGGGGTGGGAATGGCAGGGCAGGCGGGGGGAGGACACAGTAAGGATGGCAGTGCAGGCAGGAGGATGAGAGTGGGGATAACAAAGCAGGCAGGAGGAGGACTGGGAGGGGGACAGCAGCACAGGCAGGAGCAGGACCAGCCACCATCCCGCAGGGCTTCCGTGGGGGCTGGTTGTTCCTGGCCCAGCATGGGGGAGACCCCAGGGAGGAGATGCCTGAAGTTCGCTACAGGCTCCTCGTTCCCCCTGAGCCACTGCCCTCCAGCTGTCCCAGCTTCTCAGACCCTCCTGAGCTGCTGCTGGGGCCGCTCGCAGTTGCTGTTCCTTAAGGAAGGAGCAATATTTTATTCCTCACCAAAGCCCGTTGGCTGCAGGACCTTCCCAGCGCGCGACATGGGTGCCTGACACCCCACCTCATGCCTTCACCACTGCTGGACCACAGTTTTGGGCTGAAGCGGCCGCCTGTGGGCAGAGCTCCTGTTCCTTTTGCTGTCCCAGCTGTTATTTTCCAGCACATTAGCTGGATTAATCCATTGCGGTTTACACAGGAGATCATGACTGGAAGGAATAAATTATGGTATTTTATGACCAAATAGTTTGCCTGAAGCCGACAGTTGCTGGCTTTTAGCACTGACTTTTATTGTATGATACTGCCAGATTCAAAAAGCCTTTGCAATTAATTTCTCCAAGCACTGGTAACCTCTTTTCCAGCAAACTTTTATAGACTTTAGAAAGAGCCTCCTTGCTTTGAAGGGCCAGCAGATTGCTCGAGGTAAACACTTCCAGGGCAGGACGTGACAATCGAGCCCCGCAGCGGTATTTGAATCAAAACATTGACTTGCAAGTGGTGGGCGTAATGTCTGATTTTTTTTCCATGTTTCCGGTCCCTTCTCCTTCTCCTGCTTTGGCAGATTTCCAGTCATGTCTGATATGCATCGCAAGACGATTACCTCGACCGGCAGCCGTCGCTCCTTCCGAATCCTTTGTGACCAAGCAAGACACCACAGGTAACGTCCCAGTGACGCTGAGGGGCTCTAGTTCCAGAAGATTTGTTGTCCCTTGGGGTCAGAGGCCACCAGTGCATGGCAGGATCCCACAGCACAAGCGTGGTCCTGTCCTTTGCAAATGCCAGCTCTACCTGCCAGGACCAATGTGGTTGACAGCTCAACTGGAGGCACCTCAACTGAATTTAGACCCCAACTGAATTTAGACCCCAAAGGATCCAATCCAGCAGCCCTGTGCCCTGCACGCAGCCCCTATCCGCTCCCTTGGATTTCAGGGGCTGTTAAGGTTGGCTGATTGATGGGAATGCAACAGTTGTCACCTTTCGGATCTGGGTTTGCTCTCAGCCAAATATTGCTTTCTAACCATTCTGGTGACCTTCTTTCTGGTAGTTAATCACCCTGGACTTCACTGCAGCCTGAGAGCCCTCAATGAATGTTTTCTCTGCTCACTGCTCCCTGCCCATGGCTGTAGAACAGCCAGCAAGGCTGCCTGGTGTTTCACATCCAGGGAGAAATCAGGCAGCAGGTCCTGCCTGGAGGACGTGCTGGTGTGGGCAGGGTGGCTGGCAGGGTGTCCCACCGGGTGATGGTGTCAATCTGGGGATGCACGCCCTGGAGCAGCCAGGGTCCTTTCGCACGAAGGTGCTTCTTGCTGGGTTTTGTGTCCTCTTCAGCCGGCCAAGGTGCACGTAGAGGTAGGTGCACGCTCCAGAGCAAACTCCTCAAACCCCCACCTCCTTCTGGAGGACACCTTTGGGTGCTCCTGCCACTGTTGCCGGATGCCAAATAGGATGTGTCTTCGTTTTCCACATTTATGGACCTATTATTTGTGCTGAGGGACTTAAGAGTAACGTGGCTTCTCTCTTCCCACCCAGGTAAAATCATATCCATTGAGACCAGTTCCCTGAGAGCTGCTGGCAGGACGGGCTGGGAGGATTTGGTGCGGAAATGCATCTACGCTTTCTTCCAGCCCCAGGGCAGAGAGCCATCTTACGCCAAACAGCTCTTTCAAGAAGGTACGGGGCTTCTCTTCCTTGCCAGCACACTCTCCTGCTGAGCAGTGGGAGCTGCAAGGAGAAGCCGAGGCATGGTCCTCCTCACTGGATAAAGGCTTTCTGGAAACACCAACACTGCGAGAACAATCACAAAGTGCCAAAGGGAGAGGAGAAGGGGCTGAGTAAGGCTGGAGGAGGTTCTCTTTCACCTTCTGGGAAATACGGAATTGAGACAAATATGAGATAAATATGATCATTTTATTTTTTTTTCCCCGTGCCATGCGCAAACACCATCCCCAGGGTCTGGGCAGAAGAAGCAGAAGCTCTTTCGTGAGCATCTTTGCTCTGTCAGCTCTTTCATGAGCATCTCTGCTGTGTCGGCAAAGATGCTCACAACAGGGGTGTGGGGAAGGGAGGACGTAGGAGCAGGAGGTTGCTGAGCCTCCGGAGAGCTGTAACTCTTCCAGGGTTGCAGCGGCAACGTCCTGCTCCACCTTCCCAGCCTGGTTGGGCTTCAGCAGCTCGTACATTGTACGCTGGTGATTGAGTGATTGCCCCTTCGGAAGCTCTGAGCTCTCAAGGACGGTGCTGGATGGATTTAAATTTATCCACTGTAGGACACGAGTTTGGAGCTGAGAGGATTTCTGTGCCACCGTGGTTATTCCTAACCCTCTGATCCAGCAGGTTGCCCAGAGAATTTGTAGATGCCCCATCCCTGGAATTATTCAAGGCCAGGTTGGACGAGGCTTTGAGCAACCTGGTGTAGTCGAGAGTGTCCCTGCCCATGGCATGGGGTTGGAACTGGGTGATCTTGAAGATCCCTTCCAACCCAAACCATTCTATGATTCTATGATCTTCTGGATCCATGGGGTCAGCACACGTGCAGTGTGTGGTTTTGTTTGCTGGGAAGGTGATTGTCCTTGGCAGGTCCTCCCTCTCCTCTGCTCCCTCCATCCTCCTCCTGGTGCATGTAGGGTGTTGTGGGTTCCAGCTTGAGTTTCTGAGAGGGCTGATGTGTTTGTGGTTGTCCCTTTCAGTGATGACACGCGGCACGGCCTTCAGCCCCTCGTACCGATTCACCCTGAGCGACGGGACGGTGCTCAGTGCCCACACCAAGTGTAAGCTCTGCTACCCCTCCAGCCCGGAGATGCAGCCCTTCATCACGGGCATCCACGTCATCGACAGGTACGTCCCCACCCCGCCGCTACCACCGTGTCACTGAGTGGGTGATCCAGGAATCCAAGTGCCTGTTCCTTACAGTGGAAGGAGGATCCACTGGTGGTCTGTCATGCTGGTTTGGAGGTGTGATCCCCATGAGGAATCTGAAGCTGAAAACTAGAGTGACAGCAGCTCTTTTGCTCTTGATTATTCTTATTTTGCAAAAAGGTGGCCCCAGGAGTTCAGGTAGAGGTTTATAGACAGGCTTCAGATTTCTGCCTTGCCCTGGAGAACTTCAAATATTTGGGGAAGGAGAGGCTCTTGCAAACTGGCAGGACAGGGAGGGGTGAGGCTGTGAACCTGGGCTGTGCTGGAGAAATGCGAGGGGGCTGGGGCGGAGGGGAATGCTGTTGGAGCATGGTCCTCCTCCAGCCATGTGGGAAGGTAAGACCCAGAGAAGGTGATGGCTTCGGGGTTTAGCCAGGGAGCGGCTGCAATCTTGAGCAGCATTATGTTTCTGGAGAGATGCTAAAGCTGCTGCACTCCATCTGTGCTACTGAGCTGGATCCAGAAGCGCTGGTGGAGCAGGGAAGGCTGAGACCTGAGGCATGGACGGGGGCAGGAGTTGGCTGAGCGGCACTAAAGGTTTGGGCAAAGCCTCTTGTGACTTTTCCTCTCTCTTTTTGTCTCCCGCAGGGATCACGGCATGCTCTCACCCCAGGAGAACACTAACTCTGCAATGTCCCTTCCCCGGGTCAGCCCCTCGCTGAACCCCAGCATCTCCCCGGGACAAGGCATGGCCCTGCCACCCTCCATCCCTCCCTCCAAT